GGCGCTCTCGTGGCCTAGAGGTTAAGGTGTTGACCTCTCATTCAAAGGTCCCGGGTTAGATTCCGGGTAGCGACCAAAAAATGTTCTTCTCTAAAATTGTCTCCTTTCCCCTCCTTTCCTGATCTCTAGCAATGTTCTGTCGTCTGCTTTCATTTCCACTTTCTGCCCCCACCTCCTCCCCTCCTTTGCCCCCTCCTTTGGGCTTCTGACTCTTTCTGCAGCCTTTCTACTGCTACTCCTTGGCTCTTCCTTACTGCTGTCTTTCTGAAACACCCCTGATCTTCTGGTAGGAAAGATCTACACCTAGCCTTCTCGGACAAGGGCGAAAAATCTCAGAGGGCCCGTGTGCAAGTTGTGCACGTTAAAGATCCCTTGGTGGTCTAAAATCGATAAGAGTAGGCTTCGGCCGCCACCCGGGCAAAATTCAAAATTTCCTACCAACTGAAAATATTAGGTGTGTCCCGCGCGCTCATATGACCTTATGCAGTTGCGAGCGCTGTAAAACACTTTACAAAAACAAAACAAAAAACATCCACATATCCAGTTTTCTGTAAACAGGTTTTTTCTTGTCTGAAATCCCCCAATTATCCACATATCCAATTCTCTACAATACCCCCCTGGGGCGGTGCCACTGACTGAAGTGTCTTTAGGCCATTCTGAAAGGGGGGGACATTAATTTGTTCTTATGCACAGTAGAATTGTTAATGGGCTTGTTCAACAATGTCATGCTCATAACTGTGCCTGAACTGCAACAGGAAACTGCTGCTTTTTCTTTCCTAATACTTCTTTTGTATGTTTGTCACTCTCTTGTGACCTGCTATTTCCGGGTGCTGTTGAAGCTAGAGAGGTGAGTAGAGCAAGTTTGTTTCTCTGTAAGGACTTCTCTGGTCACATCCACCCCTTGGTACTCATATGGCCTTATGCAGTTGCGAGCACCGTAAAACCTTTACTGTATAAAAATTTTAAAAAATCATTTTAAAAAAAAATTCTCTACCAACAATTTTCCCCTCCAGTTCCGCCCACCATCGAGGACATGGAAGAAACGTACGATGCTGTCTCTGGTCAAGAACTGACCATCACGTGTACAGCCAAGGGCGACCCCGAGCCTTCGGTCATCTGGAAGAAGGATGGACCTCAGAGTGCCAGCACTGATGGCATTGTGGTACGTAGCACCGGCGCGGGCATCACTGGCGTGGGCTTCACTGGCGTGGGCTTCACTGGCGTGGGCTTCACTGGCGTGGGCTTCACTGGGGCGGGCTTCACTGGCGTGGGCTTCACTGGCGCGGGCTTCACTGGCGCGGGCTTCACTGGCGTGGGCTTCACCGGCGTGGGCTTCACTGGCGTGGGCTTCACTGGGGCGGGCTTCAACCGGTGCGGGCGGGCTTCAACCGGGGCGGGCTTCAACCGGTGCGGGCGGGCTTCACTGGGGCGGGCTTCAACCGGCGCGGGCGGGCTTCACCGGGGCGTCGTCTTCGTGTGCATCTTGTTCTTTGTCTTTTTTCTCACTCTTCTTGTTCTCTTTTCTTCTTTCTTTCTTCTTTCTCTTTCTCCCATAGAACAGCGAAATCCTTCGGACCTCTCCAGAAGAGACGAAGTCATTTTTACTCGATTGCGCATCGGACACACGGCCCTGACCCACAAATACCTCCTACAGGGAGATGAGAAGCCGTTCTGTGTCGGATGCAACACAGATTTTACCATAAGACACATCTTAACCGAATGTCTAGACTTTGGAGAGATCCGAAGGAAATATCATAAATGCAAGTAATTGCAAGACATTTTTTCCGTCGTTGTTCCCAGCAGAATATTGAATTTTATGAAGGCCATTGGCCTTTATGGTGAGTTGTAAAGTGAAACAATATTGCTCAAAAAATTTTTATTGTTATTTATAAGAGTTGTTTTAAATCGCAAATATATTTACACTGAATTTTAGAATTTTAGCATTTTAAAGTCTAATCGTCGACAAAGCGTGCAGTGAACTGTTGTGAATGCTACCAACTTGTGTTTCGCGCGCTCATACGACCTTATGCTGTTGTGAGCGCCGTAAAACCCTGTACTAAATAAAATAAAAATGTCTCCCCTTTCCATCCTCACGGCTAACTGAATGTGTGGCGGCGGTGGTGGCCTAGTAGTTAGGCTCTGAAACTCTCAACAGTAAGATTGTGGGTTCGAATACGCGTCAGGGGCCCGAAGTTGTGTCCTTGGGGAAGGGCACTTTACACGAATTTTCTTCTCTACACCCCAGGTGGGAATGTGTACCCAGTTGTAGACAGCGAAAGATCTGGATAGTTTGTTAGTGTTTGAGCGCTTAATCAGCTTCTTGCACTGTATGCTTCCTGGGAAGCCGAGAATGTTTCTGAGTGTTCTATGGTCTGCTGGGGTAATAATATAATGTAAAGTGAAATGAGCTTTCTGTCGAGCGGGGATATGCGCTATACAAATGCTATTTATGGTTATTATTATAATTGTTACAATTATTTTTATTATTATTATTATTATTATTATTATTGTTTTTTTTAAATTAGTGTTATTCTTGTTATTATCATTAATTGTATTATTATTATTATCTTTATTATCATTATTTGTTGTTGTTGTTATTATTATTATTATTATTATTAAAGTTATTATTGTTATCATTATCATTTTTTATTATTATTATCATTATTAATTAAGTATTATTATTATTATAATCTATTATTATTATTATTATCTTAATTTTACAATTATGAATTATTATTATAATGATGATGATGATGATGATGATGATGATGATGTCTCTCTCCCCCCCCCCCCCCCCCCCCCCCAGAAAAAGGGCCCCACTTAAAAGAAAGTTGGGAGCAACCAGAATGACATGGAGGAAAAGGGACAGTGGCCCAGCACATGACCTTCAAGCCCGTGACCTACCAGGACGCCGGCACCTACATCTGTACAGCCTTCAGTCTGGTGGGGAGCGCCAACAAGACAGTCAAACTGACCGTGCAGTGTGAGTAGTCTCCTCATATGTCTGACCAAAACTGTCGAAAGTGCCGTGAATGTTTAGTCACGCCAGTGTGTACGGAATCATAACCATTCCTGACCTTCAGACGTTATTTATGTATGAGGTCAGCTTCCGCTTTGTGCTAATTATTTTTATGCTTAATATAGATTCTGTTTGGTGTACCGGTATGTATGTCTTAACAGGTATATTGTGTGGAGTTGCATGCTTGTGGGAGTAAGGCATTTCTTGTTTTTTCATTTCAATTAATAAAACAATGTGCAGTACACACAGGCGTGACGTTTGTTTCTTTTAAACTACTACTCAACCAACCAACCAATCTAGAAGCCATCAACTAACTAACCAACCCATCAACCAACCCATCAACCAACCAACCAACCAATCTAGAAGCCATCAACTAACTAACCAACCCATCAACCAGCCAACCAACCCATCAACCAACCAACCAATCTAGAAGCCATCAACTAACTAACCAACCCATCAACCAGCCAACCAACCCATCAACCAACCAACCAATCTAGAAGCCATCAACCAATTAACCAACCCATCAACCAACCAACCAACCAATCTAGAAGCCATCAACCAACTAACCAACCCATCAACCAACCAACCAACCAACCGACAATCCATCAACCGTGGGTGGTTGGCGGGTGCTCTGGTGTGGTTTGCTTCTTCTTTCCTATCAAACATCTATCGTCCTTATCTCCCTTTCTTCTTTTTTATGTTTGTTACTCTCTTGTAACACCTCTAATCTTCTGGTGTTCATATGACCTGACTTATTGTGTTGCAAGTGCCGTAAAACACTTACTCAAAAAAACCAACAAAAAAACTCTTACTAAAACAAAACAAATCCATCAACCAACCAACCAACAACCCACCAACAACCGATCAACCAACCAACCACAACCAAGCCACCCATCAATCAACTGACCAACCAACCAAACAATCAATCAATCAATCATTCAACCAACCAACCAACCACAATTATCAGTATCAGTCAATCAATCAATCAATCAATCAATCAATCAATCAATCAATCAATCAATCCTCATAGGTCCGAGTGGGTACATCGGGTTGGTTGTGTGGAAGAATGAAGAGAAGGAAAGGTAGGGACGGAAATGAAAAGACCTTGTGGAAATTCGATTTTCGAGAGATGCGGTTTTCCATTTTATTTTCATCAGTCGTTTTGTAATACTTCTGTTATTTTCTTTTTAAAAAAAAAAATGGAGAAGGACAGTTCTTATTCTCAGAATATAGATCTAGATCTAGATCTATTACCAAAAGTGAGTCGATAGTGTCGTAAAACACCAACTCAAGCAAACAAATAATATATAATCTCCGAATGTGTTTTGTTCAACCCCAGTTTGCTTCTGTCTGTTGAAAGTGTTTTTGTGAGCCAATGCGACTTCGTAAATTTTTGTAGAATTATGAAGTACTTTTTGCAGGAACGGTAGTTATGAAGTTGATTAGTTTGGACTAACATTTGGATTTATCTCTCTTCTCCCACCCCCTTACAGATAAGCCAAACTTTGACACTGATTTCAAAGAGCGAGAATTCTTTGGCTGGAGAGGCCACAAGGCCAACCTGACATGTCAGGCCAACGCCAACCCCGTGGCCACCATTGAGTGGTACATGCCGGATGCGGAGAACCCTGACGACTACTCTAAGGCCGTTCGCATTCCCAACGAGGCCCCGTATACCATCAACATGCTGCAGAAGTGGGACGGATCTTTCCTCAGCTCCAGGTCACTTCACGTAAGTCGCCGAAAATTCTGAGTTTGATGGTGGAATTTTTAAAAATTGTTCTGATGGTCTCAGCAAATTCTGCTTTTGTTGGATAAATCTTTTCCGAATTCTGGGTTGGTTTGACAAATCCGGGAGGAGGGAGATACATTTTTTCTAAATTCTGGGTTGGTTTGATAAATCTGGGAGGAGGGAGATAAATCTTTTCCAAATTCTGCTTTGGTTTTATAAATCTGGGAGGAGGGAGATGAATCTTTTCCAAATTCTGGGTTGGTTTGATAAATCTGGGAGGAGGGAGAGAGATAAATCTTTTCCAAATTCTGGGTTGGTTTGATAAATCTGGGAAGAGGAAATAAATCTTTTCCAAATTCTGGGTTGGGTTGATAAATCTGGGAAGAGGAAATAAATCTTTTCCAAATTCTGGGTTGGTTTGATAAATCTGGGAGGAGGGAGAGAGATGAATCTTTTCCAAATTCTGGGTTGGTTTGATAAATCTGGGAGGAGGGAGATAAATCTTTTCCAAATTCTGCCTTGGTTTGATGAATCTTTTCCAAATTCTGGGTTGGTTTGATAAATCTTGGAGGAGGGAGATAAATCTTTTCCAAATTCTGCCTTGCTTTGATGAATCTGGGAGGAGGGAGATGAATCTTTTCCAAATTCTGCCTTGGTTTGATGAATCTATTCCAAATGGTGGTTGGTGGGTGCTCTAGTGAGGTTTGCTCCTTCTTTCTTATCAAACAGCCATCGTCTTCATGGCCTTTTTTCCTCATGTTAGAGATGTGTGTTACACCTTAGTCTTTGGCACTTGTATTACCTAATTGTGTTACGAGTGCTGTGGGTGGTTGGCGGGTGCCCTAGTGTGGTTTGCTTCTTCTTTCCTTTGAGACAGCTATCGTCCTTATCTCACCTTCTTCTTTTTTTATGTTTGTTACTCTCTTGTAACACCTCTAATCTTCTGGCGCTCATATGACCTTATGCAGTTGCGAGCGCCGTAAAACCTCTACTATAATTTTTTTTTTTTTAAAGCTGTAAAACGCGTACTAGAACTAAACTTAATGTGGGTGGTTGGAGGGCGCTACTACTGGTAGATCCTATTTCTTTACTTTTCTCTGATGTTTCTCTCTCTGTCTCACTGTTTCCCCAGCACTAAATGACTATTAGTGTGTCCATGTGCGTCTCATTGCTGGAGCTACTGGGTGGTTGACGGGTGCTCTGATGCGGTTTGCTCCTTGTTCCCTATCAAACATCTATCGTCCTGATCTCTCTTCCTTTTTGGTGTTTGTTACTCTCTTCTAACACCTCTTATCTTTGGCACTTGTGTGACTTTATTGTGTTGCTAGTGCCGTAAAACTCTTACGAAAACGAAAATTTACTGGAGCTACCACAGCGGTCACTTTGATTTGTCTGACCACTCGGTATGTCTGTGTGATTGGCAGGTGGACATCGGGGATGAGACGAGCCATTACAAAGATTTCCTGTGTGAGGCCACCAACGTCCAGGGCACGACCTGGCAGGTTGTCACTCTCAAGGAAGCAAGTGAGTCGGAGCTAGTAAATAAATAAATAAATAAATAAGAGCATTTGTGAGGCAGTGTGGTGGAATCAGGCTCTCGTCAATTTTTGGGCATGTAGAGTTATTGGTATCATCTTAAAGCTGTTTCACTTGTGTTTATATGGATGAAAAAACTATCCATTTATCTGGAATACAAGTCAAAATATTTGCGAATGAAGGAGGTGGGGGTCGCCTAGTGAGAAAATGGCCGCCAAAGATTAGTTATTTCCTTAGCTTAAGAGTCCGTGGTAACTGAAAAGTTACATTTTTTGTGCCTTTAATCAACGTTTTTCAGAAAAATCCACACAGAAATGAGTTCTTTAATGGGCATGAAAGGTGTTGAGCCAAAAAACAAAAATTTGAAAAAAATTCACAAACCAGCAGAAAAATGCAAGTTTCTTCTCTTTGATTATTTTGATGAGAGCCTGATTCCACCACGCTGCCTCACATTTGTATCCCGCCTTTCCACACAGCATGGGCCCAAGGCGTACATAGGAGATTAAAAAGGCATTCATACTAACACCATACAAATTCATCATGTGCGTACTTTTTGACAGCAATATTTTTTCAGACAAGAAAAAATGCTCATACAAAAAGGCAAGGTACTGTCCATTATTGAGTGTGTGTGTGAGCTGTTGTGTGTGTGTATGAGCTGTTGTGTGTGTGTGTGAGCTGTTGTGTGTGTGTGTGAGCTGTTGTGTGTGTGTGTGAGCTGTTGTGCGTGTGTATGAGCTGTTGTGTGTGTGAGCTGTTGTGTACAGGTGTGAGCTGTTGTGTGTGTGAACTGTTGTGTGTGTGAACTTGTGTGTGTGAGCTGTTGTGTGTGTGAACTGTTGTGTGTGTGAACTGTTGTGTGTGTGAACTGTTCTGTGTGTGAACTGTTCTGTGTGTGAACTGTTGTGTGTGTGAACTGTTGTGTGCGGGTGTGAACTGTTGTGTGTGTGAGCTGTTGTGTGCGGGTGTGAGCTGTTGTGTGTGTGAACTGTTGTGTGTGTGAACTGTTGTGTGTGTGAGCTGTTGTGTGCGTAACAAACGCGCCACTCGGGCAAAATTCAAAATTTCCTACCAACTGAAAATATTAGGTGTGTCCCGCGCACTCATATGACCTTATGCAGTTGCGAGCGCCGTAAAAACACTTACCAAAACAGTAAAAAAATTGTCATCAACACTGCGACTGTGTCCCCAGAGCCACCGGGCTCCCCTGTGATCAGCATGGGCAACGTCCTGACGTCCTCCATCACTGTCAACATTGAGCCCCCTGCGGAGAACAACGGTCAACCGGTCACTGAGTACACCTACCTGTACTACCCTGACGGAGACGCCGCCCAGACCAACAATGGACAGACAGGTGATGCGCTTTGGGGCTCGGCTCACTTCAGGGAGGGAGGGAGGGAGGGAGGGTAGGCGGGCGGTTGGTGGGTGTTGCTGCTCTGGTGTGGATTACTGCTCCCCTTTTTTTCCTTGAAAACATCTGTCATAATCGTATTTTATCCTTATCTCTCCTCCTTCTTTGGTGCGTTTGTTACTCTCTTGTAACACCTCGAGTTTTCAGCACTTTATGACCTGATTGTGTTGCAAGTGCTGTAAAACTTTGAATATACGGAAGGAAACGCTGTGGAAACAGTGGTCAGGGGGATGTCCGAAGGGTTGTGAAACTTCAGGGATAACCAACAACTCCCG